GCATAAAGGAACTATTTAAGAAGCTGCTTTAAATTCGCAAGAGCAGAAAATCGTGCGCTTTACAAAGATATTTTGATTTCTTAATAAGTCAATATTTAATACATGCAACAAAGATATTTTGATTTCTTAATAAGTCAATATTTAATACATGCACCCTTGTCAATATTTTAGGCATCTTTGCGTTCAGCTTAGTGCTAGGGCATTCAAATTCTAACAATACGTTATTTCAATAGTTTTGCGTTTTTTGGGGACACCCTGGCAGTGAGTATATAAAAAAGTATATAGCCTTTCAAATTCAAATTAACGATAATTATAAGTGCATGATTTCATTGATTGTTCTGAAGTCTTCTCAACTGCTTTGAATTAATGATACGCGACGAAAACACGTCTTATTTACAAAAGAGATCAATTATAACTTCATTTTAATGCTGCTTGTTTTGTACAGGGTATTTCATTGAGTTGTTCGTAGATGTCCCATAAATAGAAAGTCTTTTGTTTTACGGCTCGCTAACTTCTTCGAAGCAATTACACAGTGTGTACAGGGTGTATAAGAAAAAAACGCAACCTTGGAATTTCCTAAGAAATCCACTCTGCAATTCTTAAGCATAAAACATTTTAGGCCCCTGGGAAATGAAATCGAATTGCTAATAGTAATACAGTACAGGGTGAGTAAAAAAAAGTGATACCTTCGCGGCTAATTTGAATAACAAAGGTGTCAGTTTTTTTTACTCACCCTGTATATCATATTAGCCTACATCTGACAAGGCCCCTGCATGATAATTTAACTGTTGTTGTGCTGTACTTGTAAGATTAAAACTTATTAAGTGTCATTAAATAAATGCATAAATTTTACTTTATGCACTCGCGTGTGCAGTAATTTTGACAGTTGTGCCATTTTAAATTCCCAGGGACGTAAAATCTTTTGTCCTTAAAACAATGTCAATTTCTTGTACAGTACAGGGTGTATAAAAAAAAAACGCAACCTCGGAATTTCCTAAGAAATCACTTTGTAATTCTTAAGCATAAAAGATTTTAAGCCCCTGGGAATTGAAATCGAATTGCTAATAGATCTTATTACTGTTCTTGTGCATTAAATAAATGCATAAATTTTGCTTTATGCACTCGCGTGTGCAATAATTTTGACATTTTAAATTCCCAGGCGCCTAAAATCTTTTGTCTTTAAAACCATGTCGATTTCTTGAGAAATTCCGAGGTTGCGTTTTTTTTTATACACCCTGTATAGCTTGTCAGATTAATTCAATAGAATACGGCGTTATGCTTGATTTATATTTGAAAGGCTGTACTTTTTTTATACACACTGTAGTGATTAATTTAACGGTATTGGACTAAATTATTCTGCCTTTAGGAGTTGTCACTGCAGATATACAGGGTGTCTCAAAAAAACCCAAAATCATTGAAATTGACGTATTGTTCGATATTCAATGCCCTAGCACATAACTGCTATAATGAATGGTAATACTCAGCGTAAACTTGTTATGTCAGGCATAAAGTACTAAACCCACGAATGCATATTACGCATATTACAATTTACGAAGCATTTTTAAATTCCCATGAGCAAACAAACGTTCACTTTACA